AACTCCAAAATGGAAGACTGTGCTCCAGTGATTAAATGTCCTTGGACAAGCTAAATCAGCAATGTCCAGCATAATGAAACAGGAAAGCTGGCAAAGTTAACAGCAAGAATCAATATTTTCAATGCTGTATTTGATCACTTATTTCACATTTGGCAGGCAAGGATAGTTTTTGCTTCAGTTGTTATTTCAAGTCAGGATATCCCTGCCAGCTTATCAAAGAAAGGGCCAAAACATAACACAACTTGCCCAAATGCCTTCGCTAGCCTGATTCACTTCTCCCTCATGGACACAGACTAACAATAAGAATAGTTACAAAACACTTTTCATCATCCAATGAAAATGCATTAAGTCTGTATCTGCTCACCAGATGACTGAACAGTATTTGACTATTATTGGGCACATTGAAGCATTAAGGCAAAACTAATGAAGCAGCTGTAATCTGGTTAAATGCAGTTCAAATGAAGTGAAATGTTTGTGAAGCTGCTTCCAGTCAAAGACTTCACTGCTTATCTATTATTTCCCTCACTGAAGTGCACATCAAGGTACAATCATTATCCCTGTAACACAGCTTTCTATCAAGGACAATTATGAGATGATGATCAAAACAGATAACACTACAAAGCACTTCTGACTAGCCTCTTTTCTGATCTCATTAGAACATACAAGGACTAAGCAATAGCTTTGTCACCTCTAAGGACGTTATCACACGGGGGAAACCTGCTGATTAATCCACACAAATCCCAAACAGAAACTGGATTTGTGCCTCACGGTTTCACACGACGTTGCACAGAAACTGGACAGAAACTGGTGTTATCCGAGATCTTTTGAAATTCAGTAGTTTTGAGGAAATGCATTTGCGAAATTACAGTAATTTCGCATTTACCATAATGTGAAAAGCAAATGCGCATTTGGGAGCATTTCCCTGCTTTTTCCCATGGTTCCACGGCGAGCATTACTCTATCTGCACATGTGCAAGAAGATCATTTCTAGTACATTTATGGGCTTTTCTTGCTTGTGTGTGAACGTTAAATGCGCTTACTGTAATTTCGCAATTAAGGTAATTACGTGTGAAAGCCATTTGCAGAATCAAGGTTTATTTTCGGTTTATTTTCGGAATGCCTCATTTCCACTTTATTATCGCTTTCTGGCCCACGTGTGATAACAATGCCACTGTATTTAATGGGATTTGAGCATCCATGGAGGATCCTGTAACCAAACCACAGCAGATACCAAGGGTCCACTGTAAATACAAAACCCTTCTTTGCTAATAGATTACAATGTGTAATTTAAAGAAGTTTACCAAACACATGTTATATATTTCTCTTTCACTTCAAATCAAAGTTGAAGAAATTTCTGGGCCAGGAAATTCAAAACCACTTACTGACAGAATGAAAACCTGAATCTGGTTAGGTTTTATCCAAATTCTATACAGCCAACCCAGTGCCTATCTACACCATCATCTAGGCCAGATTCCAAGCTTTCATTTTTATTTTTTATTTTTTTAAAGCAAGTCCTTAGATTTTGTAAGACTCGAGATATGGGGCAAAATGTATAGACACTCTTCTGCCCAATAGTTTTGTAAGAACCAAGTCAACCTCTGCAATGGCAAACTGCAAGAAGCAAGTGAGAGAGGCACTGCATGAGTGAGATGCAGGGGAAAGTAGGGAAAAGAAGTAAGGAAGGAAGGGCGAACAGTGCAAAGAGCAAAGTGCAAGAAGAGAGGCACTGCATGAGACTAGGAAGGAAGGATGGAAGGAAGGAAGGACAGTGCAAAGAGCAAAGTGCAAGAAGCAAGCGAGAGAGGCACTGCATGAGACTGAGAGACTGAGACTGAGAGAAGGCACTGCAATGGCATAACGTGAGGGAGCAAGTAAGAGGGAAATGAGAGAGAGGAGCATAAGTGGAATTCAAGAAGCAAGCAAGAGAGGCACTTCAAAGGTGTGAGGTGAGGAAAGAGTAGAAATAAAGGGAAAGCAAGTACTACAAGTCGTGAAATGCAAAGAGCAAAGGAGAGAGGCACTGCAAGAGTGTGAGGCAAGGAAGAAAGTAAAAGAAAAGGGAAAGTAAGCAGTGCAAAGCAATGGAATATCAAAGGCATTGCAAGGGCAGGAGGAGTCAGGGTACGAGGAGTCAGAAAGGAAAGCATGAGGTGAATCAAGGTGCATGCGAGAAAACTTTGGAAGGAGAGAAACAAATGGGAGATACAGCAACAGAGTGCAAAGAGCAAGATGGGAGTACAGCAGAGGCATAAAGTGAGTTCAGAGAGGGAAAAGAATGGAGAGTACAATTTAGGAGTGCAGCAAAGTATAGGCAGCAAGAGTATAGGCAAGACAGCAGTAGCAGATATCTTCCAGGAGGAGGGGAATCATGCAATTCATTGCTGCAGATGCTCTACTACCTCAGGTGGCCATCTCATCATGCTACTCTGATGAAAAGTTGAGCTGACAAGAGAGGCTAGACAGACATTTATTAAGGGAGATGCTTATTGTGAACTTTAAGATTTTGAAGAAATAGATTAAAAAAACGATGAAGAACAGATAAAGGCTTTTTTGAAGGATTAACTGCACAGGTATTTGTCTTGGCAGTATGGTATGGGGCAGCTGAACTGTTTATTCACATGTTGTTGTTGTTGCTGTTGTTGTATGCCTTCGTTGTTTCCAACTTATAGCAACCCTAACGCAAACTTAGGTTTTCCTGGCAAGATTTGTTCAGAGATGTGCCACTGCTGTCCCCTGAGATTGAGAGCATGCGACTTGTTAAAGGGCAGCCAGCAAGTTTCATGGCCGAGCTGGGAATCGAACCCTGGTCTCCAGAGTCATAGTCCAACACTCAATCATGTCCTATTAATTTCAAAGGGGCTTACCAACTAATTTAAATAGGGAGTACCATATTTAAATGGGGCATACATCTAAGTAAATGTGCATAGAAAACATATATTTGTATTAGACATACAATTTACTTTAACAATTTAAACTATCAGGGAAGCAAAATAGCAGCTACAAGGGTGAGGATGTAGAAAGAATTTATACTGAAGAGAAACAGAAGGGTGGTTTTAAGAGGTCAATTTGGCTGCAACATTGGACTGGACCCCAGTAAGCAACATTTTTTCTAACATAATTAATATCTTTCAAAGGTTTGAAAGAAGCAGCTGTTGATCTTCTGCAACAAAAACAACAGTAGCTAGCAACTGTACCCTTAAAGAATAACAAGTTTTATTTGGCATGAGCTTTTGCGCAGTGCCAGGGAGAGAGGAGCAATGCAAGCAATGAGGGAGTGAGGCTCTATGGAGTGCTGCCTCAGCTGGCAGATGTTTGCATACATGTTGGGGTGTGAGGATGCAATTAGTGAGACAAAAGGGAAAAGACATGTAGTTAGAATAAAACATTTATCACTAACTTAGCTGATATTAAAAAATGGTAATTGGGTATAAGCACTGACGTCCTAGCACAGAAGAGCTGCTTAGCACGCACATTGTGTGAAAAAGCCAAATAGGCTAAAGAAAGTTAATCTAGGTCTCAATCCTACACGCCTCTCCATGTAGTGTAAATATCCATGTGGACCTCCTAGACCAGGGGTAGGCAACCTGTCCCCTTTAAGAGCCAAGGGACTTCAGCTCCCAGAATCCCAGGAGCTATTGGCCAACATGGGACCATTGGCCAACATGGCTGAGGCTTCTGGGAGCTGAAGTCCCTCGGCCCTTAAAGGGGAAAGGTTGCCTACCCCGTCTTAGACTATACTGAGCCACATACCCTTCCTCCATTTCATATGCTGCAGTGAGCAAACAGGATCAAAAAAAGGTCTGGCTATGTCCGCACAGACACAGTGGATCAAGTGCAGTGTTAGGCAACCTTTTTGAGCCGGGGGCCGGGTTGCTGTCCCTCAGACAACTGGGAGGCCGAAGCACCATAAATAAATAAATAAATAAATAATTTTTTTAAAAACAAAATTAAAAATTAAAAATATGCATGCACGCTCTCTCAGCTCAGAAAAGCCATGGCAAAACCCCTGTGGAGATTTTGCCAAGAAAACCCCAAGAACAAGTAATAACAATGATCAATATCATTATGGCGAGTGGCGGTGGGAGAAGCTGGGACTACTGACGAGCTCACCCGATTACGTCGCCCCGCGGGCCTTAGGTTGCCTACCCCTGATCAAGTGGTTAAGACACTGACTCTGTTGACTGCAAGATCAGCAGGTTGGCAGTTCAAGGCCCAGGTGCCATGTGATGGGGTAAGCACGTCAGTAGTCCCAGCTTCTCCCAACCTAGCAGTTCAAAAGCATGTAAAAGTGTTAGTAGATAAATAAAAACCACTTTTGTAGGAAGGTAAACAGTGTTCTGTACAATCATGCTGGCCACATGATCACAGAGTAGTCTCTGACAACGCTGGTTCTTTGGCTTAGTAATGGAGATGAGCACCATCCCCTATGGTTGGAGACAACTTGACAGAGGGGAATACCTTTACCTTTTTTATGCCCCCATAGCCAGGTCCAAAATTATCATAGCAGGCCTAAGACCCCTGGAAGACCCTACATCACTATAGCCAGATGTGAAATCATAACATCAGATCTCAGCACTGATGCTATGATTTCACATCTGGCTATAGTGATGTAGCCACACATATCTCCAAGCCTGCCTGCTGGCCACCAACTATGGGATAGTTGTATGAGGCTGCCTCAGGGGCTTTTGAGTAAGTTGAGGGGGGCTCTGGATGCTGCAGACGGAGGAAGGACCAACCCCTGAAGTGTCAAAAAGGGCATCAGTATGCATAAGGGAAACTTGCATGTGCATAGAATTAGAATAATTATACAAGGTCACATAGTGGGCTAGTGCAGCTATGTCCACATTGCGCCACCATAGCAAACAGGACTTGAGGTCCCACGGGTTCTGTTATCCACAGCGAGGGGCTCCAGAACAGATCTCCCACGGATATGAAGGGACAACTGTATAACATGCAAATTATGAGATTTGACGAACTGGAATATGGCAAGCCTGCTGGTCATCTGCTGGTGTAGTGGTTTGAGTACTGGACTACAACTCTGGAGAACAGAGTTCAAATCTCTGGCCATGGAAACCCACTGGGTGACCTTGGGCAAGTCATATTCTCTCAATCTCAGAGGAAGGCAAACCCCTGTGAACAAATTTTGCCATTAAAACCCTGTGACAGGGTTTTACTATTTGAAGACACACAACAATGAATTGGTCATCCAATTAGCTATTTAAAAAAATTGAGTGATCTACTGGTAAATTACATCTACTTTCTGCTCACCTTAGTACCTTTTGAGAGCAATTGATAAAATGTTTACATTTTTCAGTAGTATTTGGTTTACTCTCTGGACTTGGGCTGTATGTGAAATTCCATTAATTAAAAGTAAAAATTAAAAAAAATTAACTTTCTTCTTCATGGGGAAAAGTAGTTCTGAGGTACTTAGACCTCCTGTCATTATGTTCCAGATTATTTGAGCATTCCATAAAAGAGAGTGAATGATCAGATGAAAAAGCAATGTACACGTCAAACACTATGCTTCTGAAACTGCACAGATGAAAGCAGTAAAACTAACAGTTTACAGGAAGCAGAGTTTTAGCCAGATAAGATGGCTAAAAGAGCTAAAGGAATTCTAAAATATTCCAAAATCCAAAACTGTTCACGTGGTTGGCTGAGATATTGACACCTTTGCTTTTTGATGGTTTAATGTACCCAAACTTCATGTACAAAATTATTAAAAATGTTGTGTATAAAGTTACCTTCAGGTTATGTGTATATGGTGAATATAAAACATATGAATTTCATGTTGAGACTCGGGTCCCATCTCCAAGATATCTTATTATGTATATGCAAATATTCCAAAATCCGAAAAACTCCAAAATCCCAAACACTTCTGGTCCCAAGCATTTTGGATAAGAGACTCAACTTGTAATAGCCATTTCAATAACCAAGATCCTAAACAACTGTGCCAATCCACACACACTTTTCTCCAATCACTTCTCCATAGCTTTCTATTCACTGCGAAGGGGTTTTGTAACACTGAGACTTACTGTAAGAAAGAAGTTGGTAGCATGAGCTTTCCTAGACTGGAACCCACTTCCTTAGATCATTTGGTGGAATGGAGAGTCCAGAAACAGACCTATATCGCATGCATCTGAGGAAGGAGGCTCAAGTTTAGGAAAGCTCATGCTACCAACTTCTTTCTTTCAGTTGGGGGGGAAGCAGACGGAAGCGCCGGAGATGCCGCCGGACGGAGCGCCGCAGGACCGCAGCCTCCACACTGCGGCGCTCCTGCAGCGTCCCTAAAAGGAGCCCAATTGGCGCTCCTTTTAGAAGACTGGGAAAGTGCGCCCTAAATGCGTAGGGCGCACTTTCCCTGCCTTTTCCGCCGCAGCGCATGCGGTCGCTGCGGCAGGAGGTTGTCCCCGGAGCGCCAGCCGTGCGGAGGGCCGGCGGCTCCGAGGACGACCTCGGGAAGAGGAAGGGGCGCCACGCGTGCGGCTGCCCCTCCTCTTCCTTGCCTCGGAGACGGCTCAATAAGCCGTCTGCCGAGGCCCTTAGTGTCAGAGGTACTGCAAGATCCCTTTTCATGCATTGAATAGAATTCAAAGGCCTAGCCCTGTTAGTCTGGAAAATTAGTATGTAATTGTAAAGGAACCAAAGGAAAATTAGTATGTGAAGAAATCTTGTAGCACCTTTGAGACTAACCAAGAGAGGTTGGTAGCATGAACTTTTCCAGACTTGAGCCTCCTTCCTCAGATGCATTTGATGGAGTGGGAGTCAGAGACAGACCTATATAGCATGCATCTGAGGAAGGAGGCTCAAATTTAGGAAAGCTCATGCTACCAACTTCTTTCTTTCAGTTAGTCTCAAAGGTGCTATGAGATCGCTTAGCATACTAATTTTCTACACTAACCAGGCTAGGCCTTTGAATTCTGTTCACTGCATGCAAAGGGATCTTGCAGGACCTCTGAGACTAATTGAAAGAAAGAAGTTGGTAGCATGAGCTTTCATAGAGAGAGAAGTTGGTAGCATGAGCTTTCATAGACTTGAGCCTCCTTCCTCAGAGGCATGCAATATAGGTCTGTCTCTGGACTCTCCACTCCATCAAATGCACCTGAGGAAGGAGGATCAAGTCTATAGGAAAGTTCATGCTACCAACTTTCTTCTTCCAATTAGTTTCAAAGGTGCTACAAGATCCCTTTTCATGGCTATTGGTATGCAAAGGGATCTTGCAGCACCTTTGAAACTAACTGGAAGAAAGAAGCTGGTAGCATGAGCTTTCCTAGACCTGGGCCTACTTCTTCAAAGGCATGTTTGTTTTTTGTTTGTTTTTAAACAATTTTATTCACCATAAAACAAATTACCAACAAACAAACTGCATTGTTACATTATTACAAACATCCACATAATCATCTTATTTTTATGAATCTTACTGTATCTTCAATATACAATGGGCCCTTGGTATCAGCTGGGTTTTGGTTCCAGGACCCGCTGTGGATACCAAAATCTGTGGATGCTCAAATGGTGTCCTTTACATAAAATGGCAAAATCAAGGGGTTGCTTTTAGGAATCTATATATATTTTTAAATATTTTCAAACCGTGGATAGTTGAATCCGTGGGTAAGAAATCCGTGGATACTGAGGGCCGACCATACTCTGCTTCTTAAGTCTAAAACACACTGCAGAAATAATCCAGTTTGAGACTGCTTTAATAGCCCTGGCTCAATGCTAGGTAATCCTGGGAACACTGAGCCTTCTCTATCAGAGCTCTGGGGCCACAACAAACTACAAATCCCAGGATTCCCTAGCATTGAGCCATGGTAGTTAAAGTGGTGCCAAACTGGATTATTTCTGCTGTGTGGACGCAACTTGGTGAGAGTCTTATAATGGAGATCTTCAAACCTCTCTAACACAAGAGCCTGGTTTGTTGTCATTCTAAAATCTCCATTTCATTTATCTAAAATGTTCATCTTTTGACCAACTGGCCAAACTCCCTTATCAGGACAGTTTACAAACATTAATAAAACTAAAAACAATAAATAAAATCACAGAGGATGTTAAAACAATACACACACATACATACATATATATATATATATATATATACACACACATATATGTATGTGTATATATATGTATATATATATATACACACACACACACACACACATATATTCTACGAAATGGTTTGTGCTTCCCTTTTACAAGACCACGTATGGAAAAAAACATCATTTATTGGTAAAACGAGAAAAAAAATAACCAATTATTAAAATAAATAAATAAAATGAGAAGAAAAAGTAAATTATTAAAATAAATAAGAAAAAAAAACCCAATTATTAAAATAAATGAGAAGAAAATAACCAATTATTTAAAAGAAACAAATGAGAAAAATAACCAATCATTAAAATAAATAAATAAAATGAGAAGAAAAAAAACAGCCAATCATTAAAATAAACGAAGAAAATTAGAAGGAAAAAAATAGCCAATCATTAAAATAAATAAATAAAATGAGAAGAAAAAAAATATCCCATTATTAAAATGAATAAATTAAATGAGAGGAAGAAAATAACCACTTATTAAAATAAATAAATAAAATGAGAAGAAGAAAATAACCACTTATTAAAATAAATAAATAAATAAATAAAACGAGAAGAAGAAAATAACCACTTATTAAAATGAAATAAATAAATAAAACGGGAAGAATAAAATAACCACTTATTAAAATAAATAAATAAATAAATAAAATGAAGAAAAAAATAACCAATCATTAACATAAATAAATAAATAAATAAAATCACAAGATCTCCATAAACCAAAACACAAGTCCACAAAATCTCCCAGAATTCCGTAGCATGGAGCAACTGGCCGTTCAAAGCGGTACCAAAGCGGGTTATTCGTGCGGTGCGGACGCAGAGTGGGTTCTCCGCGTCCCGACCCATTCCCTCCGAGTCCCTTAGGGCCTCCCCTCCTCCTTCTTCCCCTGAGGATGGATGCTGCTGGCCCTGTGGCCCTGGGCCTCCTTGGCTGTCCCCTTGAGTCCTGGGCCCGCTCCTTCCCAACCGCCACCCAACGCTCTCCCTTTGCTCCTTGCTGCAAGCGACTGACCTGCCCTCCCAGCGCCATCTT